AAAGTCACTGAAGTTTAGGTGCAAAATATTAGGGCATTTTAATTGACCAGAATTTTATTGTGAGCCAGCTGTTATTACATTCCCTGAGAGTATATATCTTTTTTTCTGGGACTTAATTGTTGTATTGTATTCTATGATGGTCAAGCCACTTGTGGGGATATGCAATTCACATGTGGGTATTACATTTTAAGGAGTGGAGAGGACACTGATAAACTAGAGCACATTTAGAGGAAAGACCTTATGATGGTGAGAGATCTGAAATCTATGTTATGTGAGGAAGCAATTAAAGGACTAGGGATATTTAGCCTGACAGAAGATTAAGGGTAGGGGAGGAGAGGATATAGTATAGTAGCTCTTTTCAGATATTTGAAAAAACTGTTATGTGGAGGCAAGACTAGATTTAGTCTCAATACTTGCTTAAGGGAGCTTCCATGAGTGGAAACCAGTTTTATATCCACATAAGGTAGAACCTTCTAGCAATTGGACTGGAACTGTCCAACACTTGAAGATTGTCTCACAAGGTAGTGAGTTCCTTGTCACTAGTTATGTTCAAACAGATTATCTTTAAGGGATAGTTGACTTTAGATGGTATTCATGCATTGAACAAGACTTCTGAATTGTTTTTTTTAACTCTTGATTTCTATAATTTTAATCTGTGGAGGGATCAGTATGATTTAATGAAAAGTACCAGTGATAGAATTAAAATTAAATTAATCTTCTCAAGTACATATTTTGAATTATACTAACAAGGATTTTTTTTAATAGTAGAAATACCTTATAGAAGTGGCTTTAATGAACAAATAAGTATGGTTTGTAATTAACACATCAATGTATAGGCAAATAGGAACTTTCAAAATTTTCAAAGTCAGTATATTTCCTTAAGTAAGGTAAACATTAACCCTTACAATTTACTTTTATTTTTCCTGAGTAAACCTTTGCCTCTTCACTGATCTCCCATACGTTGTACAGAGGCAAACTGTAGCCTGGCTCCTATCTGTATTATGATAAATTCTGACTTAGTAGGTTTGGAATTAGTAATACCTTAAGTACATCTTTTCACGCCTCATATATATTGTATTAAGAGTGGGGAATGTTTTCATTTTGACCAATAAATTCAAAATGTGAAAGATGGAAGATGCTATTTTAGTGTAGCTTTCTCTTCCTAGATTTTTTTTTATTTTTGACACACCTAACTGAAATGTTCTTGAAAAGTCTGAGTTTTGACACTTCATAAAGATAGTACAGAATACAAGTGTATTCTACACATCATCAAGCCTTACGAAAAATAAAGTTGAAGCAGCCATCTTTGGTCTATACAGTCTCAAAATATTTTTGTGTCAGCTTTTCATTTGCAGAAATGAAGATCTGAAGGAGTAGCAGGTGGTAGGGCAGGATGGTGCAGTGGAAAGTGTCAGGAGAGGTTAGATTTGGCCCCGCCTGTACCATTAAGTTTGGTCTGGATTCTAGAATAAGTCACTGTATCTCTTTAGGCCCCAATTCCTTGATGTGTACAATAAGAGCAGTGGACTGGAGGATGTCCAAGGTTCATTCTAACTCAAATAGTTATGATCGTAATTTGAGAAAGCAGTTCAGTTACTAAAGTGTTTTCATGCTGATGTGGCACAGTGGGACCAGTACTGGCCTAGCAAGCTATTTGGGTTCTAATCCTACTTGTACTAGTAAATAATGAATTTTGAGCCTTGGATAAGGCATTTCACCCTGTATTTCAGATTCCTCATCTGTAAAATGAAGGCTGGACTAAAAGATGTCTAAAAGCTCTTGTGGCTTTGTGAATCTATTCTATGCTGCTTTGAACAGCACATCTTTGGAGGTTTGGATAATTTTTGTTCTTGAGGGAAAGGGGAAACAGTTATTCAGAGAGGTCATGAAACATAATTTAATTGATTTAATATCTACTCAATTTGTGGATCTTGGGTTATGTCAAATTTGAAGCTCTTCTCAAGTGTTTCGAGCAAAGGCCATTCAGTCACAGAATATAGGTTTGCTTTCATCTGATTAGTCCAGAGAAACATGTTCCCCTGAAAACAACTTGCATGGACAGTGGAATGAACACTCACTGGATTTGGAGAAAGAGAACATGGATGTGAATACCAGTTCTTCCAAATCCTAGCTATAGGATTTTAGACAACTCACTTCATGCTGTGGACCTCAGTTTTCTCATCTGCAAAATGGGAATAACAGTTGTATAACCAACCTCACAGGATTGGTGTGAACATCAAATGATATTGCACATTATATGTATATATGTAATATATTTAACCATTATTTATATACATTTATATTCTATTTACATAATATATAAATAGTATTGAAATGCTAGTTATAGTTCAAATATTCAGTAAATAGTATGTAAATGTATGTAAATAATAGAATAATTTCTAAACCTTAAAGTACTATATAAATGTCAGTTATTATTATTTTTAACATTCCTAATTTTATTAACATAACTAACATTGTGCATGGAGAATGAAAGCAGTTACTCTAGTCACTCTATTCTACTTCTCTTTGCAGGAAATTCTAAGGACAGCTGGCCTTTAGTCCTTAGCTGCAAGAATAGTTGACATTTATATAGTGCTTTAGGGTTTGTAAAACTTCAACATTGTCTCACTTGAGTTTCATGACAGCCCAGTGAGGTAGGCATGGTTATCATACCCATTTTACAGGAAACAAAGACTCTGCTAGTAAGTGTCAGAGGCAAGATTCACACTCAGGTTTTCTAGGTTTCAAATGCTGCGTTGTATCCATCAGGATGCATTTTATGTAAGTAAACAATTAATACTGAATGCAATACAGTAGAATTTAAGCGGTTTGAAATCAGGGGCTATATAATTATCAACTTTTTTGGCCTTTGTGCTCCCATCTAGGACACAGTCTTAGTACTTGTTGTATGGACAAATGAAAGACCACTCACACACGTGTTCTGCCTCAATCAATGGATTGTAAGCCATGAGAAATGGAAACAACTTCGAGAGTAATTGAATGGGAAGAACATAGCCGAACAGAGGGCAGTAACGAGTAAGGATGGATCCTTAGAAGTGTTATTTTTCAAGGCAAAGCCCATGAGGGAAGACTGAAACCACACAAATGTCGCAGAACCCTTTTTTAATATGTCCTCAGGGCTTGATAAGCACAGGCAATATTTACGGAAGCGTTCGGTGTGATGTTGGTGGCTATGCTCCTACTCACAGCAGGAAATGATTCTTTGGAATGTGTCATCTGGAAGGAGCTCCAGTGAATGGAAAAATCCAAAGAAGCGCATCAGATAGACAATAACCATTTCAGTTTAAAATAAAGAAGTCAAGCTAACATAAATGTCCCAATGAACCAACTTAAGTTGAATGGTAAAAGATGAAGAAGTCATTGTACCATGAAATAGTTTGTATGTGAATGTTTTTTCAGCGTCACAGATAAGGGAATGCTTATATATGTGAGGAGGTGATTCTAGTAGAAAGCCCAGAAAACCAGAAGTAATTCCCTTCATTGTCACCTCTTTCTAAAAGACTCCCTTTCCTGAAGAGATTAATTTAAATTAACCTGGCAACTTAATGGAAGCTGCCTTCAAAGCTTCCTTCCAAATGACAGTCTTCCCAACAAAAAGAGTCCAATAGCTGTTGAGAAGTCTTACAGGAAAATAGGGCAATGTATAGGTACATGACAGCTCTTGTTCAATTTGATTAGAGTGGATATTTTCCAAAGGAATTCAACTATGAAACCTTGAGGTGGAAATGTATTGATGGAATCCCCAGAGGTTGGTCCATTTTAAATTTGGAGAAAGTGACAGCCAAGTTGATGCATTAAATATCTGAGAGCCCATATATGTCTGAGTAGACGCAGCATAATTCTTTGGAAAGAAACTTGGCTTTGGAGTCAGAAAATCTGGGTTCAATTTCTGGCCTTGTTTCTTAATGCTTATGTGACCTTGGGTAGGTTATGTAGCTTCTCTGCACCTCAATTTCATCATCTATAAAATGGCTAGACCTCAAAGGCCTCTTTCAGTTCTAATCCATGACTTTATGGGTCTGCAATACAGGAATACAGGGGCAATTTTGATGGAAAGCTATTAAGAGTATTTTTGTGATAAAAATGGCACATAATAAGAATTCTGGGCCAATATGTAACTTTGTGTTTTATGCTTTGGAAGAAAGAATATAATAGGATCGTAGAGTTAGGATTGGAAGGGATGATACAGCCTCCTCATTTTATCAATAAGGCAACCAAGGCCCAGGTAGGTTTAGCGACTTGGCCATGACCACCAAGATGGCAATTGTAATCCATGTTCTGTGACTCCAAATACAGTGCTTATTCTATACAGCCTCCTCAAGCTTCTATTCATAACCTTCACTCAGATCATGTGACTGGCAAGGGATGGTTCCACAGAACATGGTGACTCATTGAAGAAGATGTTGAGTAGGGTGAAGAAAACTCAAATGAGAATAGGTATTTGTGTCTTTGTTGTATTTCCATGGGCTCAAATTTCCATGTTCCTGTGTCACTAACTCAGGCTACCAAGGCCTCTGCCGTGCCTTTCGTGAAGTTGGGAAAGGGAATTTATTAGCTTCTTATCTTTTGTACCAGAGAACCCACAGAATAGGGAATAGCATAGACTCAGGCCACCTCCAAGGAAGCTCAGCTTGACTGGAAGCTCTATTCCCTAATTTCCTATTCCAAAGGCTTCAGAATATGCCCTGAAATGAGTTTATATTTAACAAAGGCCTGGAGAGCCCAGGAATGGGAATATGATGTTTGCAACATGCTTCTGGACCCAAAGCTTTCTATACCTGAAGTTCCCATTGATGTCAATAGGGCAGATATCAATGGGAGACCAAGAGCAGGGAGCATCTGAGAACTCCCCACAGCACAGTGTTTACAGGCTGCACATGTTGTGGGTTCAGAGCTTCCCATGTGTTAAAAATCCCTCCCCTTCTTACTTTACAATTACCTGGAATCTGTATTTAAATAAAAAAGGGAAGCCTGTTGCCTAGAAGTGGGATGGTGCTTTATTCTTTCCTTTCATTGAAAGAGCAGTAGCGTGGTCCTAGTCCTCGCACAGTGCAGTCTGTGCTGTCAGTATCACATGGCCCACAGTGACACGCAGTTGCCACAGGGTAGGAGTACAGGGAGTCAGCCTGCTTGGCACAGCCTGGCAGGTTCACGGTTTCATAGACGAATTCCTTGAAGGTGCATGCTTTCTGAATATTGGGTCTGATCGGGTCCTTATATACCAGGTCCTGGAAAAAGAAAGGAAGGCAATAAGAGGCTTACATGATGCTGTCAGCTCCTATTTGGATTTTGCTTTATAGATTAGGCGAAATGAAACTGAAATTGAATATCCTGCCCTGTAACATTTACCTACTGAAAACCAGTGTGATGTGTCCTGGAGAATCTTCTGTTCCCGGGCACATTGAAGAAGACTGATTCTGAGCCACTTCTGAATGGCCTTGGGAATCTGACAGAAAATGTAAACTGGTACTGTGGCCATTCCCACCTCACACCCTGAAACTACAATCACAGGGCTCTTGCACTATTTAGGATATTTGTCAAGTTCTAAAGCAACTTTTCAATTTGTGAGAAGGTAATCGGGATCACCTGGGTGGAGCAGTGGATAGAGCACTGGACTTGGAACCAGGAAGATTCATCTTCCTGAGTTCAAATCTGGCCTCAGACACTTAGTAGCTGTGTGACCCTGGGCAAGTCACTTCACTCTGTCTCAGATTCCTCCTCTGTAAAATGAGCTGGGGAAGGAAATGGCAAATCACTTCGTTATCTTTGCCAAGAAGACCCCAAGTGGGGCCACAGAGAGTCGGACACAACCAAAACAACTGAACAACAACAACAACAGGGGTCATAGGAGCAATGACTTTGATCTGGAAGGGACCTTAGATGCCCTTTAGTCTGAGTTCTTCATTATACAGAGAAGAGAGATGAATCTCAGAAAAGGGAGTTGGCTAGCTCAAGGCCAGTGAATGGTCCATCCAACACACATATTAAGCACTTGCTATGTGCCAGGCCAGTAATCAGCAGAGTTGCAATTTGAAGAAGCAGCTAGGTGGGTGGCACACAATGTTGGACTTGGAATCAGGAAGACCTGAGTTCAAATCTAGCCCCAGGCTGTCACTAGCTGGCATTTTCATTGGCTTTTTCTGAGCCTAAAATACTCTCCCTCCTCATCTATGCCTCCTGGCTTCTTTAAGTCCCAGCTGAAATCTCATCATCTCCAGGAAACCTTTCATGATTCCTCTTCATTCTAATGCTTTCCCCTATGTTGATTATTTCCAATTTATCCTGTTTATGTCATGTTTGAACTTGGTACATATTTTCTCCCCCATTAGATTGTGAGGGCCTTGAGGGCAGAGACTACCTTCTATGTTTCCTTGTATCCCTGGTGCTTAACAAATGCCTGGCACATAGCAGACACTTAATAAATGTTTATTGACTAACTAACTCTGGGCAAGTCTGCCTGTGTTTTCTTATCTCTAAAAAGGAGATAATAATAGTAATGTTAGAAGAAGAGTAACATTAATAAGAGACAATGATAATAATAACACCCACCTCCCAGAGTTGTTGTGAGGATAAAATTAGATAACTGTAAAAGACTTTGCAAATGTTAAAACGCTATGTAAATACTAGCTATTATTATTATCATCCAAGTTTTCTTAGAATGTATGTGAGAAATCAAATTCCTTGCAGAGTAGTAAGGTTTTTTTCCTTCACATTATTAACTCAAAGGCATATTTCTGACAGGTAAAAACATATAGTACCTAGGTTTAATTGTACTTGAAAATATTTCCAAGGACAGTGTTTTATCCTGTCACCATTTATATAGAAAAAAAGTCATATTCTGAGTTATTGACTATTTACTTATATCAAAATCCAAGGTACTCCTCTGCCCTTTAGATATATTCTTCCCCTTCAGTGTTGCATCTTTGCAGTGTTTCTGTTTTCCACAGGATACAGAAACATCTTACAGTAGAGTTTCTATTTATATGAACAGATTATTAAGGACCATTAGAGATTTTCTTTCCTAACTCTCCTCTTTTAATAGTTGAAGACACTGAGATTCAGAGACTTGAAGTGATGTGCCTAACTAACATCATCTGTCTAGTTAGTGGAAGAATGGAACATGAATCCAGTATCTTTGGGTCTTACCTAGTCCGAGTTCTTTTCGTTTTACCATACTGTTTGATGCAGACCAGGACATAGCTATGACTCTCTTACTTGGACATACAGAGAGAGCAATTGACTCCCAGGCAGTAGAAGAGACTCTGTTTTAGTCATTTTTTTTCCATAGAAGGTACATACTTTGTGGATTATGGCTGTATGAACTGAGAACTGGTTTGGATTTCCTTATAAGGATACCTAAATGTGCACCTTTTCAAAACCAAGCCCCTTAAAAGCTAAGAAAGTAAATGCTATTAAAAAAGAAATGGTCCTCAGTGAACGTCAGTCAAGAAAACACAGAAGAAACTCTTGCATGTATAATCAGAAGGATGTGAGATCCTTGATGGCAGAGGCTGTTTTCTTCGAATGCCTGTCACATAGGCCTTACTTACCAAATGCTTGCTAAAATGAATTAGCTAGATTCTACCTATTTTCAACCAAAAACAGAGACACCCAATTCCAGAATTTCTCCCCATTCTATTGCAAGTACTTTCTCATTTGAGGGAGTGGGAAGGGAGGATGTGATGCTGAGAATGAGGGAAGACATGAGTGGCAATTGACTGTAGATTCAGTAGAATTTAAATTCCCTGAAGTCAGAGACTAGCCTTTTTTTTTTTTGCATTCTCAGAGCCTAACACAGTGTTTTGCACTTACTAGGTGATGTTGAATTTAATTGAATTGGACCAAGCCTTCAGAACTCCAGTGAAGAAGGCTGATCATATTCACAGCTGAGGAGAAATTACAGGACATTTATTAGCTTTCTTTATGATTGTGTGGACTGAGATTTGGTTTTGTTTGCAGAAATGTTTTGGGCTGCCATATTATCAAGCATAATTTTGATGCCTACACTTTAATTTTTATAGTGATTGACCTTCTGTATCAACCTAGGGCTTGTCACTAATGTTATCTATTAATTATTTGATCCAGGTCAAGTCATGTTCCTTTTCTGAGCCTTACTATTCTCTTCTGTAAAGTGAATGGGCTTGGGCTACATGCCCTCTAAGAGGGTGAGTGAAAAGAGTGCTGGATTTGGACTCATACCACTTGGGTTCAAATCCTAGCTCTTCTACTTACTAACTAACCTTATTTTGAAAGCCATTCAAGTTATTTGTGCCCCAATTGCCTCATCTGCAAAATGGGTGGGTTGGAGTTAATGTCTTCTGAAGTCTCTCCCACCATTAAATCTATAATCCCTTGATTTCTTGTAGTTAATAGAGTTTCTGATTTGATTTATCCAAATAGAAGCAAGGAGGTTTATGGTACAGTGGAAAGAACACAGGATTTGAAATCAGGAAACTGGATTTGGAACCCTAGGACTATTACTTATGAATCATGTGACCTTGGGCAACATGTATCTCAGCTTCCTCTTATGTAAAATGAGATAGTTGGGCTAGATTAGATCCTGAAACCATGACCCTACATGGTAATCACTAATGGGAGTGAATATGATATAGTAGATGGAGTACTGGACTTGAAGCCAGAAGGACTTGGGTTCAAATCCTACCTCAGACACTTTAACGGCTGTGCAACCCTGGGCAAGTTACCTAACTTCACTGGAGCTCTGTTTTATCATCGATAATATTGGCCTAATAGTTGACATTTTCATAGTACTTTAGGATTTGCAAAATGACTCACATGCATGGCCTTATTTTAGTCAGTCAATAAACATTTATTAAGCACTTAATATGTGTCAAGTATTGTGCTGAATACAGGGGATGCACAGAAAGGGAAAGACATAGTCTTTGCCCTCAAGGAGGTCATAGAGAGCAATTGGAGAGACAACATGTAAATAATCAGGTACATGTAAGATATACACATGTGTGTATTTCTGAGAGAGAGAGAGAGAGAGAGAGAGAGAGAGAGAGAGAGAGAGAGAGAGAGAGAGAGAGAGACAGAGAGAGAGAGAGAGACAGAGAGAGAGAGAGACAGAGAGAGAGAGAAATAGAGAGACAGAGAGAGAAATAGAGAGAGACAGAGAGAGAATAAATGGGAGGTAATATCAGAAAAGGCAGTAACAGGTAGGGTACTAGGAAAGGTCTCATGAAGAAGATAGAATTTGAACTGAGTTGTGAGAAGGGAGAGCATCCAGTCATGGGAGACAGATGGTATAAAAGCAGGTAGAAAGGAATGGAAGTGTTCTATTCATGAAAAAGCAAACAAGTCGATATTACTGGATAATAGAATATGTGGAGGGGAAAGTAATGTGTCAGAAGGCTGAAAAGGTAGGAAAGGGCCAGGATATGAAGAGCTTTAAATGCCAAGCAAAGGACTTTATAGTTAATCCTAAGGGTAATAGATCCTGAAAACAACCCTGGGAGGTAACTGTTGATATTATCCCCATTTTGCAGATAAGAAAACTTAGTCTCAGTGAGATTCAGTGACCCACCAGGATCACATAGCTGGTAAATGTCTGAGTCAAGATTTGAAGGCAGGTATTTCTGACTTGTCCAAGTTCAGCATGGTCTATCACGCTGCAAAATTACCATACAGAACAAATGAAACAGCATATGTAAAGTACATTTTGTGTATACTTATTTCTATATGTATTATTTCCCCTGATAGAATATAAGCTCCTTGAGGGCAAGTTTTATTTCATGTTTGTTTTTGTACTTGCCAGCTCCTAGCAGTGCCTGGCACATGGACAATGTTTAATAAATGACTGCTTCTTGGAAGCATTTTGCAAACCTTAAAGCACTACATAAAAAAAAAACCAAAAACACAGCTGTTACTAATAGATACCTCATTAATAAAACATGTGTTTTTTTGAGAAAAACAATGGAATTTCAGCATGAGAAATGATGAAAGGAGGTGTTCACTCCCTCCTTCTCAGGATACCTGCAACCCTTACCCGTGTGTGGCAGTAACCGGAGCACCAAGTGGTGTTGATGTTGATGCAGAATTCACACTCCTCTCTCTCCACTGAGATGGTGATGTTGGTCAGCATGCAGCCATTGCACCAAAATGCTTTCCAACAAAAGAAGAGGACATACAACCGAGTTGTCTTCATCCTGCTGTGGGAATTAACCCAGAGAAATTGGACCAAATCATCTCAGGTTCCTTCCATCTCAATCTATGATCTGTATTCAGACTATCCAAAAGGCAAGGCTGAGTTTATTCCTGGAGAGCAGCTGAAATCCATTAATCCCTTAGAGAACTATCTCAATAAATTTAGTTTGGTTCTTAGGAGCTTGAAAATCCATCAATTTTGAAAGTAACCCCCTCTCAGAAAGATGCAATAAAAATGTAGCTTTTGAGACTTACCTGTATTTCTTGGTCTGTCTGTGATTAGAAAGGAAAAACGAAGTTGTAGACAGAGTAAAGTCACAAGCTCACCTTTTATACAAAATCAGGCGTAACTCATACCTTGGGGATTTATTTACAGGGTATTAAGGTGACCAGCCCTGGCTCAGTGATTGCCAAAAGAGGATAAATGTTTAGATAGACAGTGAGATCAAATCGGGTTAAAACTGTCTAAGACTAGAAATCATCATGTTACCAGAGATGTTCATTTTGCAAAATCTAGGCACCCTCCTCCAATCCTTGCTTCCCAAACCTCTTTACCGTGTCAGTTTACTCATTTGCTACAATTTCTTTAATCAGAGTAATTGAAAAAATAACTGCTGACATTTCTAGAACTTCAAAGTTTGCAAAGCATTTGATTTTCATAACAGCTCTGTAAGGTGGGCATTGCATGTATTTTAAGCCTTATTTTTATGGATAAGGAAACTGAGATTCAGAGAGGTTAAGCAGTTACTAGATAGTCGTGGGAGTGGGGGAGTCACCTAACTAGTAACTGACATAGGTGGTTCTTTATAGCAATCTTATATTCTAGACAGTCAAACCCATGTGTCTTCTGACCCTAAGTTCAGTTCTCTTACCATACAGCACCAATACTCTTCCTCCCCTTCCATCCCCTACCTCCCTATCTCCTTCCTTCCTTCCTTCCTTCCTTCCTTCCTTCCTTCCTTCCTTCCTTCCTTCCTTCCTTCCTTCCTTCCTTCCTTCCTTCCTTCCTTCCTCTCCTTCCTTCTTTCTTTTTTCCATCTTTCCTTCCTTCCTTCTCCTTCCTTCCTTCTTTCTTTTTTCATCTTTCCTTCATTCTTTCTCCTTCCTTCCTTCTTTCTTTTTCTTTCCTTCCTTCCTTCTTCTTTTCTCTTTCCTTCCTTCCTTTCTTCTTTCCTTGCTTCCTTCCTTAATTCCTTCTTTCTTTTTCCTTCCTTCCTTCCTTCCTTCCTTCCTTCCTTCCTTCCTTCCTTCCTTCTTCCTTCCTCTTTCCTTCTTTCTTTTTTCCCTCTTTCCTTCCTTCCTTCTCCTTCCTTCCTTCTTTCTTTTTTCCATCTTTCCTTCCTTCCTTCTCCTTCCTTCCTTCTTTCTTTTTTCATCTTTCCTTCATTCTTTCTCCTTCCTTCCTTCCTTCTTTCTTTTTCTTTCCTTCCTTCCTTCTTCTTTTCTCTTTCCTTCCTTCCTTTCTTCTTTCCTTGCTTCCTTCCTTCCTTCCTTCCTTCCTTCCTTCCTTCCTCCTTCCTCCTTCCTTCCTTCCTTCCTTCCTTCCTTCCTTCCTTCCTTTCTTCCTTCCTTCCTTCTTTCCTTCCCTTCTTAACACCTAGTATTTGCCAGTCACTGTGCTAGGACCTGAGAATACAAAGACAAAAATGAATTGTCCCTGCTCTCAAGGAACTTCTAATCTATTGAGAGAAATAACACACATACACATATACAAGAAAATCAAAATAAATAGTTTTATTTTATATTTTGTATTATCACTGAAAAATAAATTTCAGAGGGAAAAACTAGCCAATGGGATATCAGGAAAGGGATTGCATAAGAGGTAGCAAATGTATTGAGCTCTGAAGGAGACAAGGCATTCTATGCGCCAGATATGAGGAAGGCCAACATTCCAGACATGGAGGATAAAGATGTATGAAAAATATTGTGAAGGTAGATTTGAAAAGACCTAGCAACTGTTTGGACATGGGGAGTGAGTGAGAGGGAAATTTTGATGTACAGCTACTTGATTTATTGAAGAGGTAGGTCAGCTTTGTGTGGATAATAAGCTATCCCCTGAGTGTACTGAAATGCCATTGTGCCATCAAAATGACATTTTGAATGTCATAAAATTTTGGAGTTCTCAGAAATTAGCAGACCTCTCTGTTGGTGCTTTTATTTTTAAAGTAAAGGATGAACATTGAAATAAAACCTTGTTATCCAGCACATGAAAACAAAACAGATCCAGGACTTTCTAGTCTCCAGTTGCCTTGAGCTGACCCAAGAGAGAAAGCCCTGTGTTCTTAACTTTTGTTTCTTTTTTTAAATGATTTTTATTTTTTGAAATTTATTTTATTTTTTAATTTATGGAAAAAACAAGCATTTCCGTAACATAGTACAATTAAAAATGATTGCACACGAAACTGCAAATCTATGTACAACTTGTTATTCCTTTCAAATATACAACAAAGTTATCATGTAAATTTCCTTTTTCCCTTCCCTCCCCCCTTGCCCTAGAGACAAATAAGCACACACAACTGTATATGTATACATGTAAAAATATTTCTAGACATGCTTCTATTTATCAGTTCTTTCTCTGGATGCAGTTAGTGTCTTGTTCCTTGAATGTGAATTTCAACATCAGGATAATAAGACCATAGATTTAAAGCTAGAGGGAAACTTTACAGGTCATCTCATCCAGCCTACTCATATGACAAATGAGAGAGCTAAAACCCAGAGCCATTGAATGATGTGTTGAAAGAGATTCATAATCACTTAAAAAGTCTTTGTTTCCATTCACACAGGAAAGAACAAATAGATCAAGAACATCTCGTGTTCAGATTTTAACATTCAGTGGGATGAACATACCACAGAACTTATCTATCAGACTCTGTGTATCTGGGACAAATAGTACAAATGGACAGCGAGTTAGACTCAGGATTAAACAAGGAAGAAAATGGGATAGACTGCCTTAAAAACTGGCAGAGCTCCTTTAAAGACTCTAAGCTTCTTCTCAGAATCAGAGGCACATCTTTTTAATACCAATATTCTAGGGTTTGCTGTGAGTCACAGAGTGCAATGTTCTCTGAAGAACTGAAAATGAAGAAATATAGCACAGGGGGCAATAGAGAGGTGCCTAGTGGATATAAGTAGGCTGCAACAGGGAGTTCCCTACACTGATAAAATCACAGGTCGGGACCTCATTCCCTTCACACAGACACAGAGACAGACAGACAGACAGACAGACAGACAGACACACACACACACACACACACACACACACACACACACACCATTGAATAAAGGCTGGGTCTACAGTTCCTGTAATTTTATTGGTATAAGGAACCACCAGGTGATGAAATTTCCTCTATAGAAGTAGGTCAGCACCTTCTCTGCAATTTGTAAACTTCAAGATGCCCAGAGTACTGAGAAGTTCAATTACTTGCTCAGCCAGCAAGTCCCTCCCTTCCTTTCCTTCACGCTCTCTTCCCTCCCCTCCCCTCCCCTCTCCTCCCCTCTCCTCTCCTCTTCTCTCCTCTCGTCTCTCCTCCCCTCCTGTCCTTTTCCCTTCTCCCCTCTCTCATACACACACACATCCTGACATTTACTTAGCACTTTATGGTTTGCAAAACATTGAACATATTTGATTCTCACAATAATCTTATGAGTTATAGCAATTATCTATTATTTCCATTTTAAAGATAATGCTATAGATGCTCAGAGAGGTTAAGGCATTTCATCAGAGCCACATAACTTAGTTGTTGTCAGTCAATATTCAGACTCAGATCTCCCAGACACCAAGTCCAGTGCTTCGTCCATCAGGCAAAACTGCCTCCTGACTGAAGTCACCTGCAGATTGCATCTGAAAAAGGAATGATAATAATAGTATTCAATAACAATAATGTTCCTAATGTCATAAAATGATCTTAGAGATCATTCATTCTAAACCCTTCAGTTTACAGGTGAAAACATGGCCTATAGGAGTGAAAGGGCTTGGATAGGGTCACACAGGACTTGTACAAGGTCACACAAGAAAGGTAGGGATGGATCTAGGACTGAAAGCCAGATCTGCTGACTCCAAGTGCAGCACTTTTTAATTTCTCCTTTTATATCAGCCTACCTATCTTTTCAACAATATAATGCTCATTTTAATAATGATAAGAAAGTAGGGCCTGTAGTAGCATAATGGAAATCATATGGTCTATTGGTATGAAATGCTTTTTCATCCCTACGTCTGGATCTTCTGTTTGCCTTTGCTGTCCTTCAGACAAAAGCAGTGGTTTAAATGTTCTTGAAAGGCAAGGACAGAGCGGGCTTTCGCACACGTGCCTTTGTGTACTTTCATAAATGAGTGAATGGCTTACGAGAACGGCCCAATGTCAGCTCCTATTTGCCATGTCAGTTAAGCATCTATCTCATCCACTTAATGCCAGAGCAAGGGCACTGTGGTGACAGCTGTGATGTTGACATTTCCCATTATCTTTCCCCTTGTGCACACTGTGTTCTGGCCAGTCTGCACTTCTCAGTGTTCCCCGTAGGCTATCCTGTCTCCTCTTCCAGTCTGGACACAGGTTGTTCTCAGGCCTTGAATTCTCTCCCTCACCTTGACCTCTTACATTCAGCCTCAGCTCAAGTGGCATCTCCTACACGAAGCCTTTCTGATCCATCCCAGTCACTAGTGGCAACCCATCCAAAATGCCAGTGTATTTCCTCTGTATATGTTTTATGATTGCTTATCTGTGGACACATTATTTCTTCCAGTAGAACATATGACAGGATTTGTTTTATTTTTTGTCTTTTTAATCTCCATTGTCTAACACAGTGCCTGGCACACAGTAAATGTTAAATAAATGCTTGTTGAATTGAATTCAATGGTGTGTCAACCTTATCAGTTTAGCTTACAGATAATATGGATCGAGGGTGAGGAGGGACATCAATGGCCAGTGTCTTTGGCATGGTACCATTCTGCTTCAACTGGGTCCTGGTTACCATATTGTGATCTTCACAATTGGTTTCCAGCACTAGATGGTGCTGGTCATTACCCTTGGTTTACAGAATTTGCAATAGCCCCATCTAATAATGCATGGTGAGGCCAATCAGTCCCTTGTTTCCCCTGCTAGCCATCCCCAACTTCTTTATTAACTCCTCAGGACACTAGCTCGAGGCAACAATAGCTTAACCTGCCTGGATTCCCATCCTGGCATGCTCTCCCTCTTGCTAGATCTGCTCTAGAGGTGAACCAA